CTTTTCTGCTAGCATCCCATTGGCAGAACTTAATTATGTAACCACATATAACTTTGAGAAAGTTAGGTAATGTAGTATCTATTCTTGAAAAACTTGTGTCTGGTCAAAATTTGGGGCTTTTATTTTTGAAGAAAGGTTAATAGGTATTGGAAAACAAGTAACAGTTTCTTTCACATTTATTAAATGCAAATCAAAAAAGCAATTTGCTATTTAAATTTTTTTTCTTTCTCTGTTTCTTTCCTTTTCTTCCTTGTCTTTTTTTTTTTTCTTTTATCACATGGGTTGCACAGGCTAAAAAGATTGCTAATTTAAGTGCAATGTGGGAGAACCTGGGTGGCTCAGTTGGTTAAGCATCCAACTCTTGATTTTGGCTCAGGTCATGATCTCATGGTTCATGAGATGTAGCCCCAAGTTGGGCTCTGTGCTGACAGCATGAAGCTTGCTTGGACTTCTCTGTCTCTCTTTCTGTCTGTCTCTGCCCCTCCCCTGCTCAAGCTCCCTACTCCCAAATAAATAAATAAACTTAAAAAATAAAGTAGTATGGTCCTCTGGGTGGGATCTTGGAACAAAAGAGGACATTAGTAGTAAGGCTAGTAAAATCCAAATACATTTTGCAGTTTAATTAATAATATTGTACTAATGTTAATTTCTTAGTTTTATAGATATATAACATGGTGATGCAAGATGTTGACATTAGTGGAAACAGGATGAGAAGTATACACAAACTCAGTATTATTGTTGCATTCTTTCATAAATCTAAAATTACTTAAAAATAAAAAGTTAGGGGTGCCTGGGTGGCTCAGTCAGTTAAGCGTCCAACTTTGGCTCAGGTGATGATCTCACAGTTCATGAGTTCGAGCCCCATCTTGGGCTCTGTGCTGACAGCTCAGAGCCTGGAGCCTGCTTCAGATCTTGTGTCTCCCTTTCTCTCTGCCCCTCCCCTGCTCATGCTCTGTCTGTCTGTCTCTCTCTCTCTCAAAAATAAATAATAAAACATTTAAAAAAACTAAAATAAAAAGTGAAAAAAAAAAGATTGCTAATACTCAATTGTCAGGGGTTTGGAAAGAATTCTTATGCACTCCTGGTGGTAATATATATTACAGCCTGTTTTTAGAGAGCAATTAAGCATTGTTTATTAAATATGAATGTGTTTATATTTTTTTATTCAGAAAATCTATTTCTATCAGCAGTGCACAGTGGCAAGATGGTGATGAACATTTCCAAGAAGAGGAAGTCTATGGCAGATGGCATCTTTAAAGCTGAACTGAATGAGTTTCTCACTCAGGAGCTGGCTGAACATGGCTACTCTGGGATTGAGGTCTGAGTTACATTAACCAGGACAGAAATCATTGTCTTGGCCATCAGGACTCAGAGTGTTTCTGGTGAGAAGTGCTGGTGGATCTGGGAATTGACCCCTTGGTTCAGAAGAGGTTTGATTTCCCTGAGGGCAGTGTAGAGCTTTATGCTGAAAAGGTGGCCACAAGAGATCTGTGTCCCAGTGACCAGGCAAAGTCTCTGCTTCACACATTACTAGGAGGCCTTGCTGTTCAGAGGGCCTGCTATGGTGTGCTGTGGTTCATCATGAAGACTGGGGCCAAAGGCTGTGAGGTCGTAGTGTCTGGGACACTTGAAGGACATAGGGCTAAATCCATGATGTTTGTGGATGGCCTAATGATTCACAGTGGGGATCCTGTTAACTACTACATTGACACTGCTGTGTACTGTGTGCTGCTCAGACAGGGTGTACTGGGTGTCAAAGTGAAGTTCATGATTCCTTGGGACCCAGATGGTGAGATTGGCCCTAAGAAGCTGGCCCTAAGAAGCCCCTGCCTGATCATGTGAGCATTGTAGAACCCAAAGATGAGATACTGCCTACCACCCGCATCTCAGAACAAAAGGGTGGGAGGCCAGAAAGGCCTGCCATGCTGCAGACAGTACCCACAGCATAACAAGGTTTCCTTGGCAGGTGGATCTGGAATCTGGATTTTGCTCTGTAAAGACCTTTAATAAAATCTTTGAAAAAGAAAAAAAACACAAAAACTACAATCTATTTCTTGGAATTCCTCCTATAGAAACTTGAATGCTAGCTTTTGGAGTGTCTTTCCCTTCTTAGATAATTCAGCATAATTCCTCCCAATGAATCTAGGAGGTTGTTAGAGAGTGGAATGTTTGGTTTTCTAACTTCAGAGTTAAAACAATCCTTATTTTTTTATAAAGTAACTTATTATAAAATAAATAAACATTTATTTATTTATTTATTTATTTATTTATTTATTTATTTATTTATTTAGAGAGCATGCAACTACAAGTGAGGGAGAGGCAGAGAGAGAGGGAGAGAGGAAGAGAGAGAGAGAGAGAAAGAGTGAGTCCTAAGCAGGCTCCAAGCTGTCAGCATAGAGCCCGATGCAGGGCTCAATATCATGAACCTTGAGACATGACCTGAGCTGAAACCTAGAGTCAGACACTTAACTGACTGAGCCACCCAGGCACCTCCGTATGGTTGATGTTTGAAGTAGAATGGAAATTAAGTTCCTAGAGTAGAGCTGGTTAAATAATTAAGTTCCTAGGCTTTTAACTCGAGGAGTAACAGGTCTGAAGGCCAATGGGGAATATGAAGGATACGATGCTACCTCTGGATCTGGAGAAAATGAAGTGTGGGAGGCTGAGTGGCCTCCAGCTGAGAGGGCTGCAGGGTAATTTCCCATTTTAGACAAGGAAGTGCATAAATGATCCTTGAAAAGGAAGAGGGATTACTTTGTAGGTTTTAAAATTTTCGAATTTAGTTTGTAAAGCACTGTGGAAACACTTGAGGGGGCACATAGCAGTGGTAGTTTGGGGCAGGGCACTAGAGATTCTTAGAGATTGGAGAAGTTTACACTTTTAGCGGGGATAAGCAACACAGAAAGATGAGGTTGCAATATAATTTGTACAACTACTGTTATGGTGGAATGTCCTGGGGTATTAGAAGTAGTCCAGCTTTTGGTAAATTTAACTAGCCATGCTTTCCTAGCCCTCAGCATTTGTGTATGACTTTTCCTTGGTCTGGAACACCTCCATCTCCTTTTCTCCCTTTCTCAGGTCAGTTCAGGCTATGTTTGGATCTATAACTTACTCCAGGAAGCCTTCCCTGAGTGCCTTCTCTCCTTTTAGCATGTGTACTTTTTCCCTGGTAGCCTTTCTCACCATACACAGCGAGTTAAGTTCTGGAGGAGAAAAGACAACTGTCTTGTAGAAGGTCCAGCCCCTATGTAATCATACCATAAATTACACGTCTTTATAGTGAATACTATTTTTTTTCAAGTTTAATATTATAAAATTCAATTCCAGTTTACAAAATAATTCAACATGTTTCTTTAAAAAAATTTTTTTTTTTCAACGCTTTTATTTATTTGTGGGACAGAGAGAGACAGAGCATGAACGGGGGAGGGGCAGAGAGAGAGGGAGACACAGAATCGGAAACAGGCTCCAGGCTCTGAGCCATCAGCCCAGAGCCCGACGCGGGGCTCGAACTCCCGGACCGCGAGATCGTGACCTGACTGAAGCCGGACGCTTAACAGACTGCGCCACCCAGGCACCCCAACATGTTTCTTTAAAGAGTAAGTTCCACTACTAATGATTTGACTCCTACACATTTACTTCCCCATGTTACAAACACTGCCACTCCATTTTTATGTGTGGAATACACTAATGAACTGAATTAACTTCATCCAAATCTTTCTCGACCCTTGATATATAACCTTTGAAAAATATTAATACTATTCAGATTCTAACATTTTAGTATCATTAAAAAAGTATTTAACCTGTATGTAATATGGCATTTGAAACTGTTGAAGAAATAACAAATCCGTTTGTGCATGTTGAGCTGTTCTTATGGGTTTAAAAATTCGTCTCAAAAAATAAATTCCCTAGGCAGATGCAAGGCATTATGTCACGTTCATATGGACACACATCCCTAGGTCATACATGATATACTGGTGAAATGGAATATTTCCCGCTAGATGTATTCTTTCTCTTAGTAAAATTGAACTATTTATGTGAAAATAACTGTCCACAGTACACTCGTTGTAATATTAACATAACTAAATCAATGCTTTTTCCCTCTTGTTACATTTGTGATTTTCAAGGCAGCAAAGTCTAATACAATTCTCACACCTCATTTCCCTCTTAGGGAAAATAAAATTTTCTCAAGTTCCAAGATATTTAAAGCGATGCAATTTACAGAAGCAGTAGGTAGAGTGTGGCTCTCGGTATTATTTACGTTTCTTTAGTAGTAACTTAAGTTAGCAACGTCTCTTTTTACGTCCAGTGTACTCTGAGTAACTCCTTACACGACAAAAGCCAGAAACAAAAATTGCCTCCCAAGGATTTGGGCTGGCGGTGAAACCTCAGGGATTTGTGTAGGAAGAGCGGCGCAGGGTCCGGGAGGGCTCTCGGCTCTCGTCACTACTCGGCTCGTCTCGGTTTCCTCTCGGTTCTTGCTCGGCTCCGTTCGGCCCCTCCTCCCACGGGGCGGGGGGTTGGGGAGACAGAGAGAGATAGAGACAGAGAGAGACAAGGAGAGCGGCGGCAAGTTCGGCGCATGCGTTCACGTCTGTGGCTGCTTTTAGGGCCGTGCTTTGCCGTGTATTTTCACTTCCTTCTCTTCAGAGCTGTATCCGGGTCGTTGCTTTCTCTATTGTCTCAGGCAAACGGCCTCGGACTTTGCGAATTCTGGGTCTTTTGTTGCATCTGGTGCAGGCTAATAAAGTTTTTCTTTCTTTTCTTTTCTTTTTTTTCTAACAGTTTTGACGGAGGAAATTTACTGCCCGGGGCTGCTGGGGCCTGAGGGCGCCTCTGACAGGGGAGCCGTGGGAAGGGGCGCGAGCTGCAGGGGCCGGTTCGGCGAGGAGTAGGGGGCGGGGTGGGGGGCGGGAGGGGACCGGGGCCGCTCTAGAGGCGCCCGGGTCCGGTCGCTGCACCGATTTTAAGTAGCATCTTTCGGATTTGTTGCCGCGGTATCAGTCCCGACCTCGGCGCTGCCTGGGCTCTTGAAGCCTCTCCCTAGGTCTCCTCCAAACGACCACCTCACGGATTCCTTAGTAAGTGTGTCGGAGGCCTCCGGCGGGAGAAAGGTGCATTTCAGCCCTTCTAGAAGTCAGGGCCTGTGGGAGCAGGGTGGGGGTGGCAGATTCCTGCGGGAAACTGGACCTTTTTTGGACCTTCCACGTACACGGGAATGAACAGGCTTCTTTTATTACCTGGGCTTTGCGGTTTCTTTGTATTGACTGTTACTATATCTAAGTGAGGGATTATGAACAAGTGGCAGAAACATAACAATGTGCAAGAGGGTCAGCTTCGCTTTTGGCCGGCCTGGGTTCGCCTTTGCCGTACCCCAGGCTGGAGCTGTAGGTGTTGCTGCCCAGCCCTCCCCAGCCCGCGTACCCACCGCGAGCTTCTTACACCATTTGCTGAGAACTGAATTAGACAAAGATTCCCTGCACGAGGTCATCTGTGTCTTCCCTCAGCATCACAGGTGTCTTCTGCCCTTGGTGTGATTATTAATGACGATGTAATGCTTTTCTCTTAACAGTGGATCGCAGCTCCAAGAGGAGGCAGGTGAAGCCTTTGGCAGCTTCTCTGCTAGAAGCTCTCGATTATGATAGTTCAGATGACAGTGATTTTAAAGTTGGAGATGCCTCAGGTAAATGTTTCCTTCTCTCTTCCCTTTTCTCAGCTTCCTGGAATTGGGCTTATTTTCAGAGCCTATTAAAAATCGGTTTTGATTTAAGTGTCAATTTAAAGTTAAAGCACATAAACTTCATTTATTTTGTCCATGTGATTTCCCTAAGGTTCTTTTACTAGAACCTACCGTTGCTTCTGTTTATGTTGATACTCAGATAATTAGCAGGCAGAAAAAAACTTATTCCATTGATTCGAAAGCATTTTCTCTATTCTTTACTCAAAAATGTATTTATGCTTATTTTATGGATAGAGGGAAAAAAAACGAGAAGTATTGCGAAATCAATAAATACTCTGGGAGTATCGTGAGCCATATACAGCCCATGAGCAGGGTTCTTTTCAAATCACTTGACACCCTCTGAGGGGAGTTTTGCTGTTTGTCTGTTAGCTCCCTTACCAGAATAAAATTAGCCAGTGTGAAAAGTTGTACTTCGTGGTAGGTGTTGGACCTTGTGGATTGGGCCTTCCAAACAACTCTGAAGTATAAAGATACATGTTTGCTCATTATACTTTGTGATTCTAAAAACAGTAAACTTTAAAAAGGTCATATATTCACATACTAAATGGAAAACAGAAAAATATGGTTTTCCATGGTATCTTCTGTTTATTGTGCTTCATGTATATAGTTTTAATTGCAGGAATCTGAGAAATGCATACAAATTGTGTTTATTTTATGTGAAAAATACTAATACACACGAACAATAAAATTATTTTAAATCTGTCCCCTTTTGTTGGAGATTTAAATAAAATGAGAAGTTAAAGCCTTTTCAATTTCATTCCTTTAGTACTTTTAATATATTCTTCCGGAGAGCTTTCTATACTTAGTCCTTTCTCTCTCCTTTCCTCTGGTTTTTCTTTTTTTTTTTTTTCTCCTGCTAGGGATGGTAGGAGATGAAATTAGGTTGTGTTGTGTTTCTGATATTACTTTCAATAGCATCAGCAAGTAGAATTTGCATTGTGATTTACTGAGAACATTTTATTTCCATAATCTCATTTAACTTTTATAATAACTTAATGAAGGAGATACTATTTTACAGAAAACAGGACTGAATTCAAAGAACTTGCATGGGGTCACTTAGGCCATAATGGATATATTTGACTCCAAAATTTAATAATCTTTTCACTGCTTTGATCCTAAAAGTAAATAGATGTGATTTTAAACTGAAGCTACCTGGATGTTATGACTAATTGAGGTCACTCCCAACAGTCAAAAGTTAAGTTTATCTTGCCTTTTAATCTTTGCTTCTCAGCTACTTTCTTTCTTAGTTAGTCAATTCACTGATGTTTGGTCCTTCCAAAGAGGGGGAAAAAAAGGGACGGGAGGTAAAATCCAAAACTATTTAAGTTCTCTTGGTGAGAACCTTGGTAGATAAGAATATTTTTGGTTAGAGTGTAGTTTTGGTCAAGGTTGTTAACTGTGACAACAGTCGTTGGGTCTCAGAAGTTATGAGTTATTTGAACACCAATTATGAAAAAACTCTAAAGCCAAATCTTTAAGTGTTCCATAATTGTTTCTGTGACAATAAATCCTCACTTGGTAGGTTTTTTTGTTTTATTGAGATGTAGTCATTTACAGGTATCACTAGCACTTGTCTTTACAAAGGTTAAAACGATCTAATGATACAAACTACTTTCTCAAGATAATTTTTGGTATCAAGCTAAGTATAGATTCCTGATCTTGTAAATCTTAATCAGAGTTGATGGGAATTATCACTTATGTATGAAAAATGGGAGGATGAGTTGTTAGGCTGATAATTTTTTTAAAAATCTCTTAAAAACACTAAAAATATATATACATTCTGTTCCCTCTTGTCTCATACCTAGTTTGTTCTATTTGTAATTTACTTCTTTGGCCCCTGTGCAGTTCTTATGCTATTGTAAAGGAGATTATAGTAGAAAATGATTTTGTTTAAAGTGGTTAATAGCAATTGAATCTTATTTTCCATTTTTGGTTAAGGTGCATTCGTGTCCCTCATAGCTGAGGTGGTGGCTTACTCTAGATTACTAGTGTTTCCTGTTTGTATCCTTTCTTTGCCTGAGGTAGTTGAACTCTTACAAGAAACAAGACATAGATTCTTTGTTGGTTTTCAGTCATGTTAGAGTTGTGGGATCCCAATCCTATGTATGAGTAGATGAAACTGAAGTGGAGAAATAGCTTACCATCTGTCTGATCAAAGCTTTTAAAAGCAATGTCTAGAAATGACTTGTTGAATGAACTACTGACTCCCTTAGAACTTAATATTAAAATGATTAGATTGGTTGGCCTCCATTTTTATTCATGGGATTCTGTGCATCAATTTCTTTTGCTCTTCATTTTGAATTCAGAAATTCTGGCTAAAAAACTTCACATTTCTGTTTGGCTTTGAGAATAAAGACAATTCTGAAAGATTATATTCAATACCTTTGCAGGTAAACATAATTTTATTCATGTAGTTCTCAGTGATAAAATACAAAAAGGTAAATATTGATCAAAAAATGACCTGCCAATAAGATTGGCAAGTGATGTTAATGGCCACAAGTCCTTTAGAAAAGTACAAACTGAAAATAGATCATCTTTTGTTTTTTCTTTAATGTGAAATTGGAGCTGAATTTCTTTTTTTAAAATACTTTATTTTTAAGTAATCTATACATCCAACATGGGGCTCAAACTCACGACCCCAAGATCAAGAGTCACATTAGAGCTAAATTTCTCATTTTTGGTTGAGGGCAGTCAGTAAATAAATTGTAAAATTAATAAGTCTTAAAACATTAGAATTATGGTGATAACCACCAGAAGAACCATATGTAGACATGTTAAACTGAACCACATAAAATTACCATTTTAGATTATTGGCAGTTTTATCTATTAACCTAGTTAGACTGGTTATATTTGAGACTTGATCCTAGGATTGGGGTTAGGAGAGATTACATTTAGTAATCTGATCAATGTTTTTGAAGATGAGTGCTTGTATTCCTTCTAAATAAAACAAAATAGCAGTGTTGTTTCCACTAACACACTGGCCAAGGTAGGATGATTAACTTTAGATCTTGGGCCATAGTTAGTTTAGTTAGGACAAATTGCCAGAAAATAATTTACCTGAAGGGTCAGGCTGCTACTTTGCTTTGGTAGTATTTTGCACTTAATCTAATTTAGGCTAATTGGTCAAGATATGTTTATTGATCTTTAGTTTTGTTTAAAAGCACTTTGCTGGATATTATGGTGATTTCACAAAGAAAAGTGATGATATTAGAATAATTAAATCAGTAAAATAATGCAAGGCATGATTGATTACTTGTGTAGTTTAAGTCAAGGAGATAGGACTACTTTATCTAGAACAATTCATTGAGGAGATGAGTTGAACTAGAAACTGAAGGAGAAGCAGCCTAGGTGAGGGAAACCTTAATATTAGAAGTGTGGAGCCTGGAAAATGTCCAGGGGATTGGGCATCTGGATTGAGTAAAAGAATAAAAGAGATGTGCTTGGGAAAATATAATGAGGTTAAATTGAGGCTTTATATTGCTGGACTAGGGTTTCTCAATCTTTTTTTTTTTTTTAACGTTTATTTATTTTTGAGGCAGAGAGAGACAGAGCATGAACGGGGAGGGTCAGAGAGAGGGAGTCACAGAATCTGAAACAGGTTCCAGGCTCTGAGCTGTCAGCACAGAGCCTGACAAGGGGCTCGAACTCATGGACCGCGAGATCATGACCTGAGCCGAAGTTGGTCGCTTAACCGACTGAGCCACCCAGGCGCCCCTAGGGTTTCTCAATCTTGGCACTATTAGCATTTTTGTTACATAACTCTTTGTAATGGAGGCTTGTCATGTTTATTGTAGGATGTTTAGCAGCATCTGTTTTCTACTTACTAAATGCCTGTAGTATCTCTTCTTCCTTCCACTGCCACAGCACCCCTGTCTCTCATGGTGACTATTCATCCATTGCCTCTAGTCATTGCCAAATGTTCTCTGAGGGACAGAATTCAAATTGTTCTTACTTGAGAACCACTGGTCTAAATTTACCCAAAAAATGTTAAATGACACAGATAATGAATAGAAGAGGAGTTGTGTTGGTTGACTGGTTGACTTTTTAAGAAGGATGTACAGGATTAGTCAAAAATGGCCTCAAGGAGATAACTGAATAACCTGTAGACTGGTGTTCTGTCTATTCTGTATTGTGTATATTTATAAATGCTAATCGCTATTGCATTAGATCAGTGAAGGGAATAGTTAATTAAGGTTGATGAACAAAGATGATTCTTTACATGGCAAAGCTAAAATAAAACTGAGTCAAATCATACCAATTTTATTGTTTAATATTTATCATGGGGAGAACTTAAGCACTGAATATTGTGAAAGAATTCTTGAAAGTTGTTTTTTAAAATCTGTGTCTGTAAAAAATTGCTTAACTGTCAAATAGCTATTGTTTCGAGAGAGAGTTTGCTATATTGTGTATTTGAGAAAGGTTACTTTTTACTTAACTGAATAGAAAAGAGGGATTTCAATTTTAAAGCTTTTTTCCTAAAAAAAAAATAAATTTATTGAAGAGTTAGAATTGCTTCTAATGCTAAGTATCTGACTTACGTGATGTATCTGACTTATTTCTCTAGTCTATTATTACCTTTAAAAAAAAAGATGTAAGAGTGATGGATTTGGAACTTGACAGAGTCATTGTTTGAATTTGTAATAATAGGAAATTTTTCTTTGCAGCCTACAAAAATATAATTATAGACAAAGACTCTGATTTTCTCATTGTTATTTTTGTCAAGCTATGTTTGTAACTAAATATTGTTTATCTCCATCCCTCAAGTGCGTATGTACCAAAAAGAAGTGATGACTAATCAGATGTGAAGAAGTTATTTTTCAGATATCAAAGAAAGATAAAATTTGATATAATCCTGATGCCTGCAGTTGGAGTGTGAATAATGTATTGTATTTGGAGAATGAAGGGTTGGGTAAGCTACTAGGTTTTGGATTTGTGGAAAAATTTCAGATTCATCTAATAATATGTTAACATATGTAAAGCATTTAAATCTTTTTTCAAATTGCTTTCTATTCAGACATGATTATAAAACAAAAACAGAATCAAAGAGTATCAATTTCCCTATACATTTAAAAAGAAATGATTGGCATTGGCAACAACAACAACCAAGACAAAATCATAAAAATTTTTAACATTTTGTAAAATTTACCAAGCAATAGCAAAGTTGGATTGGTCTCAGCTTTTTTTTTTTAATTTTTTAATGTTTATTTATTTATTTATAAACATTATTTTTAATATTTATTTGTCTACCAGAGGTAGACAGAGTGAGAGCAGGGGAGGGGCAGAGAGAGAGGAAGACACAGAATCTGAAGCAGGCTCCAGGCTCTGAGCTGTCAGTGCAGAGCCCAACGTGGGGCTTGAACTCATGAAGGGTGAGATCCTGACCTGAGCTGAAGTCAGATGCTTAACTGACTGAGCCAACCAGCTGCCCCTAGATTGGTCTCAGTTTTGATTAGGTACCCACGTTTGTGCCCCAGTTAATCTTACTTTTGTTATCTGTTGTTGTTTTTATTGGTAAAAATTATTAGGAATGCCTTTTAGGTATTTCTAAAAAGTATCTCTGGTAATGGGGACCATCTCTCTTAATTATGGCATTGCTTGCAAGATGTTCCAATTTTCTGTAGTCAGTATGCACAAAGACTCTTTTTTGACTTAGAAGTGTTTAGTTAATTCTGCTTATTATTTATTAGATCCTTATTTTAAAATATCTAGAAATTATTTTACCATAAGTAGTGTTTCATTGTAGGTTGGGTTTAATTATGAGTGGTGTTAAAAAAAATCACAATTTTCTTAACAATTTGCAGAACTGCTGGACTGAAAACAAGTTACCTAGTTGTGGGTGATAGTCTTTATTTTTCAAATTCAGGAAACTCACAAATCCAAAAATGTTTCCTAAGTTTGGTACACACTTGTTTCATGGTAAAACCTAATTGGAACTGATAGTTTATTTGTAGTGTTGCCTTATCGTACTTATCATACTTTTTAATGCAGATACGTGTTTCATTATAGGATAGTGCCACAGACCTCACTGGAGATTTTAGTGTAATATATTGTGTATATACCATGTTACCCTTCTAAAATCTGAAAAAAATCAAAATTTTGAAGGACATCTGGCTCCAAAAGTTTCACCTAAGGGATTGTTGACCTACATGGTACTGCCATTGTGTTCTATGTAAGATTATTTAGAGAGGTTCCTCCCCCCACCTGCCACAGTTTTGAATAAGTCTTGGGTTCCTGCATGGTCATCTTGAGATTGACAATTATTTTGTAGGGTCAGCCAGTATCTATTGTATGTTAGTCTTTATTTTTTACGTGATTTAACTTGCAGGATTTTTTTAATCAGTCATTTGTAAAGTATTCCTAGGATATTTTAGATACTTGATACTAATTACAACTTTCTTTCTTTTAATGCCCAGTTAATTATAGTGGCTAAGGCTGGTTAACAGAAATTAAAATGGTGTGGAAACATAGACTTTTTTCCACCATTTTTATTACCCTTTTCTTGGTTATATGCTCAAAAAATTTATCACTCTACAGATTTTGCTGATGGTGTTGACCACGACCTGATTATGACTGGTTGTTTCTTATTTCTTCCTGTTCCTTTCCTTTTTTCTCCTTTCCTTTATTTTAGATTTTTATTAATTTGATTAGGTATAAAGAGGATTTGAAGGTTACTGGGTAGTGTTGGTCTAAGACAGCCTGGCCTGCCCTCATCAGGAGTGGAAGAAACTTGCCAGAAAGCTTGAAGTCCTGCATGAATTCTTTAATATTCTCAGCCTATCTTTCTAGTGACTACTGTGGTTGCTCATTTCCAAGATAGATTCTCTTTTTAAAAAATTATTAATTTCATTCATTCTGGGGGCTAGTGTAGTTACTGCCTAGAATTTTTGAAAGTTTAGGTGGCTCTTACTGATAGGAAAGGTATCCTAATAAGCAGGAAAATTGATAACAGCTCTTGCAACTTCTATTAACTGTGCTAGTGCTATTGTCTCTTTTCACCTGTGAACTTGGTACTCCTAAAATTGATTGATATGTTAGGGATGTTGACTATCATAAATACCTGTGCTCATTTTTGCTGGGTAAAGAGTGAAAGAAATGAAACCAAGTTTTTTGGGCCAGATTTTTCTTGTTCTGAATGCGACTCAACACTTGTAGGTTCATACAGTTTATGAAAGGAAGATGGAAGAGAAGAAGAATTTGATCTGTATTATATAATTAAGTTAAAATTAAGTGCCCAATTTAAAAAGAAACACCTTTACTTTTAGGGGAAAAAAACTGTTTCTAGGGTACCAAATATAGCATGAGCTATATGACACAAAATAGTGCTCTGCTTTTTAAAGCATGTTTTAATTTAGAGTTACATATATTCATCTTCATTAGTGCTATATTGAATTAAAACCATTATACCAACTTCATTGATTTATTTAATCAGGTTGGGAATGTCTACCATTCTTTGACTTAACTTTGTTTATATTGTTTTGCAAGTTGCTCACAAATTTTGGTGGTTTCATTTGTGTCAGCGTTGTGTGTGTGTGTGTGTATGTATATACATATGTGTGGTTTTTTTTTCTCATATTTTCAACAGATTCTGAAGGGAGTGGTAATGGAAGTGAAGATCCTTCAAAGGACAGTGGAGAAGGTTCCTGTAGTGATTCTGAAGAAAATATTTTAGAAGAAGAACTGAATGAAAATATTAAAGTAAAAGAAGAACAACTTAAAAATTCTGCAGAGGAAGAAATACTGTCCTCAGAAAAACAGTTAATTAAAATGGAAAAGAAGGAGGAAGAAGAGAATGGAGAAAGACCTAGAAAGAAAAAGGAGAAAGAGAAAGACAAGGAAAAAGAGAAGGAGAAAGAAAAAGAGAAAGAGAAGGAAAGAGAGGAGAAAGAAAAAGCGACAGTATCTGATAATGTGGCTGCTTCTGCTGCTTCTACCACACCAGCCATAAGTCCTCCTGCTGTTAACACATCTCCATCAGTCCCCACTACAACAACTACTACAGAGGAACAAGTCAGTGAGCCAAAAAAGTGGAACCTTCGTCGAAATCGACCGCTTTTGGATTTTGTATCCATGGAAGAGCTGAATGATATGGATGACTATGACAGTGAAGATGACAATGATTGGCGACCTACTGTAGTAAAGAGAAAGGGAAGATCTGCATCTCAGAAAGAAGGAAGTGATGGAGACAATGAGGATGATGAAGATGAGGGAAGTGGAAGTGATGAGGATGAGAATGATGAAGGCAATGATGAAGATCACAGCAGCCCTGCCAGTGAAGGGGGTTGCAAGAAGAAGAAGAGTAAAGTTCTTAGCAGAAACAGTGCTGATGATGAGGAACTGACCAATGATAGCCTGACACTATCTCAAAGCAAGAGTAATGAGGTAGATCAACCCAATTTTTATGATATCTGTCTGTCTGGGGAAAAGGGAATTCTTCTCTAAACCATTCTGCTCGTTATATTAAGTAGCTTCCTTGAAATCCTATTTATAGACAGTTGTGGGAGTGAATGAGCACCTTACTGTAACATTTATTCATTTGGTCAGCCAGCCTTTATTGAGTATCTACTATTTGTCACCGTCCTCAAGGAGCTCACAATCACCGTCTTCAAGGAGCTTACAGTCTATATAGTTAGAGAAATATTTTTATACCCATAGACTAGGGAAACGGTAGTTTTCCTTTCCCCTTTCTATTCTCTCATCCCATTGTTCATAGGACTGCTGAACGGTGCTCAGTGAATTATGGAAACAAAGGTCACCTTTATTTCAACTTAGTTATATCCTGTATCCACATGAAAATTTAGACTTCTAGAATACTCTAGGACAACAAACAGCTTAATGATTGCCTCAGACTTTTAGAGACTCACTTTAAGGTTACTTCCTTTACCAGTTGTAACACTCATCATCTGAATAGTCACCAAGTCTTTGCTTTAGATGTAGGGGAGTATATGTATACGTATATTTAGTGAATAAGTTCTGTCTGCAAAGAAATGAAAAAGAAAAATCAAACATTCCTGTCATAAAACAAACATTTCTGTTATAAAACTACAGTAATGACTCCTTCCACTTGAAGTTCTACTACCGAAAGTTAGGTTTATCCATTGGGCCCAAGATGCAACATTCAAGACTCTTCAGTCAAACATATCTATGTCTCTTTGTCTGTGTGTTTATGTATATGTTTTTCTTCAAAAGAAAGATTGAGTTGTCGTCTTACATGTAGATGTACCTGTTACATCAACATGTAGAACTATAATTAAGTCTGTCATTTCTGTTAATGTGTTTATTGTCATGAAAATTCACTTCTTTAGCAAGCACTTTTTTTTTTTTTTCTTCATATCATTGAAATAGGGTAAACTGGTAGGGAGAATTTCCTTGTATACTTTATTCTTTTACATTACTTCTACTTAAAAGTTTTTCATAGCAGTGATTACCTATTTTAAGTAGGTTTCATTTAAAAACTTGGTAATTTTTCTTACTAGAATACTAAGTAACAGGCTCTGAGTGGGTTATATGCTGGTAGTGATGAAATAGTTTATATTTTAAATTATAAACATTGGCAAACTTCTAGGTTATCCACTTTCATGTGAAGAATGTTGCCTGCTTCCAGTGCTATCCTAATTCTTATATTTAGGTAATGGAAAATTGTCATTTGGAATATGATATTTACAATGCTATAGCACAAACAGTTCCATATTCCCAGTGCCAATTTAGGGAAATAGAAATATGGAAAAATCAGTTGTTCAGATTTGATTTAGGCTTTATCCAGTGTATTTTTTGATTTGATTTGATTTAGGCTTTATCCAGTTTATTTTATAGTATTTAGTACTCAGTTTCTCTCAAGTTAGTAAGTTTACCTTTGGCAGCATCACTTTCTTACTTCATTTTTATTAGTCTGACGTTTACAAAAGTAGGCTGGCTCACGACAGAGGCAGAGTTAGATTAATGGTAAGGTGTGGAAAATACCAGCATATGTTTAGAAATTTGCCACATAGAATGTATACATTATCTACTTGTTAATAATCTGCAATACATAACATATTGCTTAAGAGGTTGTAGACTGTCCTTTATGGTACATTGGAAGGCCACATGTGCTATTTTAGGGTTTTTTTTTCCTACCAGAAGAGACTTTAAATAATGGGACTTTATAGATTTAGATTAAGTCCCAAAGAAATGAGATTCCGGAGTATTTCTTGGAAATGTGCCTCAGTAAAATTGTCAAGAAGTTGCTTATAGTAGCTAAATTAATTTCTCTTGTGTTAATTTATGTTAATTTTCCTTTTGCTCTACCCCCTGCAGAGATGTAGAAGAACTGATAGAAAGTTAGTTTTCCCTTGATAATATTCTACCTGAAAGCTTGGTGACTATTTTTCCCCAAGAATCTTCAGTAATTTTTGATAATTCTATTTCTATTTAAATGTTACTCAAGTTAGATAAAAAAAATTAATAAAAACTAATCAATGGAGATTATTATTTTATATTTCTGAATTTCATGTTTATATGCTCTTGATTTTGTAAAAATGACTAAAGGTAATTCTTATTGTCTATGGCCATTGTTTGTATCTTAATCTTCCCGGTTATTTTAGGTAGTGATACCTTGGCAAGTATCTATTAGTTAATACATATATATTTGATTATATTCAGAAGTTTAATTTTTCTCTGCTTTTATTTTAAGTATTCAAATATTACTTTGTAGTAGAGATATATTTAGTTTATAAGCAGCAAACTTTCTTAGCTGCTATGTTAAGTACTTTTGTAGGGAATTGATGTTGGACATCCTGTAAATGATGCCCAGAAACTTTAATAAATTTAAAGTTTTTTTAGGGGAATTTGATTTTGGGGGGGGGGGCTGGGGACCTTTTATAACTACTGACTCTTCTTTTTAATGTTTATTTATTTATTTTGAGAGAGAGAGTGTGAGCAGGGAGGGGCAGAGAGAGAGGGAGAGGGAGAATCCTGAGCAGACTCTGCACTCTGGGCACAGAGCCTGACCTGGGGCTTGATCTCATGAAACATGAGATCACAACTGAGCTGAAACCAAAGAGTCAGGTGCTTAACCGACTGAGTCACCCCTGTGCCCCTTTCTATTGACTCTAAAAGCCTTAACATGCCTTTGCCATAGGCCTTGAAATACTCTAGAACAGTGGTTTTCAACTGTTTTTTGTCTCAGAACCCCTTTATGCTCTTAGAAAATCATTGAGGACCCCAATGTAGGTTATATATTTTGTTATTTACCATTTCAAATTAAAACTCAGAAATTTCAAAAAATAAGACATGCAGAAGCACACCAGTTGTCAGATTGATGACCCTATCCCATGTTATGTAGTTCTGGAAGACTACATTATATAACCATGAGAGAAAGTGAAAAAGACAAATAACTTTAGTATTGTTATGAAAATAACCTTTCTCTTCTGGACCCTATGAAACAGAATCCCACAGACCACACTTTGAGAACTAACGTTTTACACCTGGGCATTTGGTAAACCTGCAGTTTTACATATGGGCACTTGCCTTTGCCTGTAACATTATGACATTTTTGAACTTAGCATGGTTTAAATAATCCCCTTGGAATATGGTTATATGTCTTCTTCAGACTTTTATCTTGATGCTTTTAGATTAATTTATATTATGTTACTTTTGGTTTTCTGAAGTAAATCTTGGTGATGGGTGTGTAGCATTTTCAGAGAATGGTTCCCATTTTTAGGACTTTGAAGTGAGAGCTTTGGTTGAGAATTAATATTTGATAGAAAATCATATCATATTTCAATAGAAATTTTCAGGTGAAAGTTTTTTGGTTTCTTTTTATAAAATACTCTTATGTTAAATGGATTAGATTAGGTGTTAAATGGATGTGAAGAAATGGCAATTGTCATCTGACTTTGGTAATTAAAAATTTTGCCAAAATTTATAAAGAGCTCCTTCTATTTGGGACTTCTGACTTAGTAAATATTAAGTGCCTTTTTACACATTTCAATATAAAGCAAACAAACTGCTTTAAAACCTAAAAAGACAGTTTGTAATATTGTATTTTATTTGAGATTCTTGAGGATTTAACTTCCTTAAAAAACTTAGGGGAAGACCTGTTGCTCAAACTCTTTGGTATACTATTTTTTTTTCTCATCTTGAGAACAAGTGGATTCTTTTAATTCTAGTTTTACATGAAGTGTGCTGGAATTCCCTTAAAAAAAATTTTTTTTTAACATTTATTTATTTTTGAAAGACCGAGACAGAGCACAAGCAGGGGAGGGGCAGAGAGAGAGGGAGACACAGAATCTGAAGCAGGCTCCAGGCTCTGAGCCATCAGCACAGAGCCTGACGCGGCACTCAGACCCACAAACCGTGAGATCATGACCTGAGCCAAAGTAGGATGCTTAACTGACTGAGCCACCCAGGTGCCCCTGGAATTCCCTTATATTAAACACATAAAACTTAGATAGAAGTTATCTTGTATATATTATTTATAAGCATCTATGTGGAATACATATATAAATGAACACTAAACATATTTTAGAACCCATTGAGAACATTGGGCAGTATTACCATTTTAGGTGTAAATTTTAAATCCCAAGGGTAAATGAAATAATTTACTATAAATAGTCATTGAATTATTACTACAGTGCCCCATTCTTAATTACCATTAGATTCCATTATTCTATAATATTAAAGTTATATCCTAGGTGATACTCTTGTGCCATTCCAAACCTACTTTCTCAATTACTATTTTTATGTAAAAATCATATTTTCAAAAGATATATTTTTTGGTAAAAACTTGAGCCTAACTATCTTGTCCAGAAACTTGAAAAATGGTACACATCTTCAGAAGTATGCCAATAAAAATTGATACTAAATTTGCTTTTTATTTGATCACAAGTGTTCTCAACCCATGTTTGATGTATTAACGACAACATGGAGCATAATATTTGAAGAGAATGTGTTGCTTAGATTTTCCCACTGAAGTGTTATCTGTCAATCATTTGGTAGGGCTCCAGTTCCCCTTCATTACTCTTGTCTTTGAAATACATTTCTGGTAAGAGTCTCAAATGATGGGGATCAGGGGGCCAGAAATACCAGTTAATTTTTATTTTTCTGCCTCTAAATGATAATATGCGTGGTGAGAATTTGGTATAGATACACAATTGAAACATTTACTGTTTTTGTTTTTTTTTTTTCTGAGCAAAATGGAAAAATAGGAAAATAATAGAATTAGAGCTACCTATTAGTGCTAATTTACTTGTTTCCCACATGGGTAAACCTTTTCTCAAGGGCTCATTAGTTGTAATTCCACCAGAGAAGTATTGGCAGCACCAATACTGTCAATCATCAAACTCTGGTTTCTGGTTATTGTCTAGATCTTTTTCTAGTCTATGATTTTTTTAACCTAGATGTGGTATTTTGGGGAAAAAGTCTTTTTTGGACACCATAGGAAAATATTTAAAGTAGCAGTGCTCACTGAAGCTTACAACATTTTGGGGGATTCCAAGGAAGATTCCTCAGTATAATAAATGGTCAGCTCATACTCCTCTTCTTGAACCACCTATAAGAAATAGGAAAGGAGAATGAGAATGAACACTTATTGAGTACCTCGTATGTCTTGGGAACATTGTTACCATACAGTTATCTTGCTAATTTTCACAACAATTTCATCAGGTAGGTATTATTTTTGTGATACCACTTTACAGATAAGAAAACTACAGCTTCGAGGTTCAACAGTTATTAAGTAGGAACTGAGAATGAAAGCCAAGAACATTGGGCTTTAAGTCAAATGCTGTTACATTGGAAGCTTGGCTGATGGAGCGAGAATCTGGGTAGATTTTTGTTTTGTTCAATGTACCAAACTACTATAAAATGTGAGTTTTCTTTTTAGGAAGTATTTCCTTCTCATGTCCAAAGCCCTCAAACTGCTTTGGCTTTGTAACAAGGAGGAACAAAATACAGTTTTCTTAAGTTTATTTATTTTGAGACAGAAAGAGAGAGAGGGAAAGAGAGTGAGCTTGAGTAGGGGGCAGAGGCAGTGAGCAAGGAGATAGAGCATCCCAAGCAGAGATGTGGGGTTTGAACTCATGAAACCATGAGGTCGTGACCTGAGCAGAAACCAGGAGTTGGATGCTCAATCGACAAGTGCCCCCAATTTTAAAGTAGTAAGATTCTCAAGAGAAGTGACACTGCCTCCTTGTTGACTTTTCCTTCATTTCTGATTTGTTTTACAGATCAGTTGCAATTTAGATGTATAACACAGAATTGAAAAAAAATGTTATTGATTGTGACATTGAAGTATCATACAAATGTCATTTACAATTGCTATGAAATGATGACTGTAAATGTTATCTGTGGTTATTGGTTTAAAGGAATATGAAAAAACATGGTTAGGTTTTTAAAATACGTAGACTCAAGTGCTGTCTTATACAAAGCCCAATCTGGTGATATATGATAAGAATCATTGTCTTGTTAACCATTTAAAGTTTAAATCTGTAATGCAGTTTAAATTAGACAGGTAAACTGTTCTTTAATTTTATCTTTATATTTATTATGTCTTCCTCCTTTTATATTATAATTAGCTCCATATCTTTATTAGTTTACACTAGATCTTTCTTGACATGAACCTACTAGAGTACTCTCACTCTTTAGCAACTAGACAATCTGGATCCTTTTTAGATAGTTTTCTGTCTCTGTATACACAGATATGTCTATGCAGGCTCTCTTGGATCTGTCATCCAGTAATTTGATGACCCTGGAACTTCTGAATTCCTCAGCAGTTAAGGAGTGTAGAGTCTGTAACTATGCCATCACATACATATTTGCTTATGTGTTATCTTGAATTGATTTTTTTTTCCTGTTTAACATATGTGTGTCTTGTCTCCCTTAAGGTAAGAGTATAAGCTTCCAAAGTATAGGAACCCTGTGTTAAACTTTTTAAACCCGTTGTACGGTTAATAATTACATGTGAGTTAATTTTTCCTTTCTCCTAGTTTAAGGGGTCAGACTATAATCTGGAATGGCAAAGCAGATGAAGAGTTGCATGCTTGCTTTTTCATTTCTTAAAGGAGAGAGAATATGGGACTTGTAGAGAAAATGAAAAATTAGAGGGTGCTTTGAGGGTCATTTGACAAAGAGATGGGTTTTCAAGTGTAATATGCTTTGAAATTACTAAAAGAATGGAGAATGCAGCATAATTTTAGAAATCCATAAAATAACTAAGTGAGAATTTTATTTATTGAAATTATCTTTTAATTTAAACGTGATTTTTCTGATATATTTTAATATTAGGACTCGCTGATTCTTGAGAAGAGTCAAAACTGGAGTTCTCAAAAAATGGACCACATTCTGATTTGCTGTGTTTGTCTTGGAGATAATAGCGAGGATGCTGATGAAATAATTCAGTGTGACAATTGTGGCATTACGGTCCATGAAGGTAATTTTGTTTTGTTTTGTCTCCTTGTTGAAACAGCTAATTGACACTGAATTTAAATGAGTAAAATCAGGTCTTTTGCATTTGTACTGTTCTAAAGTTCTTCTACAGTCTTTCATGGTGTTTCAATTGAAGCGACATCTCAAATCCTCAATGTACGAGGGTGTTATTTTTCAGATTATGTTAATTTAATTTTTTTTTTTTTTTCAACGTTTATTTATTTTTGGGACAGAGAGAGACAGAGCATGAACGGGGGAGGGGCAGAGAGAGGGAGACACAGAATCAGAAACAGGCTCCAGGCTCTGAGCCATCAGCCCAGAGCCTGACGCGGGGCTCGAACTCACGGACCGCGAGATCGTGACCTGGCTGAAGTCGGACGCTTAACCGACTGCGCCACCCAGGCGCCCCAGATTATGTTAATTTAAAAATGTGTTTTTAAATGATTGAAATAGAAATATTATATGGAAATCATAACATTGAAGGTCAGTGTTAAAATATTTTCATTCTTCATGGCATTTATTTCTAGTTTTTACATGAAATTTAGATACAGAAAAAAAGACTGTTTAAATACAGGAAAAAGTCTAGTATGTTAGTCTGGGAGAATGTTATTTAACATTCTGGGGCGCCTGGGTGGCTCAGTCGGTTGAGCGGCCGACTTCACCTCAGGTCACGATCTCAAGGTTTGTGAGTTCAAGCCCCGCGTCAGGCTCTGGGCTGACGGCTCAGAGCCTGGAGCCTGCTTCCGATTCTGTGTCTCCCTCTCTCTCTGCCCCTCCCCCGTTTATGCTCTGTCTCTCTCTGTCTCAAAAATAAATAAACGTTAAAAAAAAAAAAATTTTTTTTTAAATAAAAAGTTACATTCTAAGTCTAGTGATACATAGTTTCTTCTTTCCTGGTTATAATTTTCAATTTTAAACCAGTATTTATAGAGATTGTCTTTTTTTTTTTTTTTTTTTTTTTTTTTTTTTTTTTTTTTTTTTTTTATTTATTTTGAGAGAGAGAGGGCAAGAGCACAAGCAGGTGAGGGGCAGAGAGCGGGGGAAAGAGAGAACCCCAAGCAGCCAAGCAGGCTCCCTGCTGTAGCACAGAGCCCAGTGCAGGGTTCAGTCTCAAGAACTGTGAGGTCCTGACCTGAACTGAGATCAAGAGCCCCCAGGCACCTCTAGAGATTATCTTTTAAGATCTGAGCTAAGAGTGACTAACTATAATATATTGAGAATATTTTTGCCCATTTTATTTTTGAACCTTTTTCATTAATGTATTTGTTTTTTCACTTATTTTTTTTATTTTGACATAATTTCTGACTTACAGAAAAGTTATGAGTACTACGAAGAATTCCCATATATTCTTCACTCAGATATCCCACATGGTAATATTTTGCTATTTTATCTTCTGTCCTGTAGCAATTTTGTTTTGAACTCTAGGAGGATAAACCATAGACATAATGTCCCCTTCTACCCCTAAATACCTCAGTGTGTACTTCTTAACAAGAGCATTTTCTTACCATATAATTATAACCATGTAATTATCAAAGTCAGGAACTCAGCATTGATTGAACTCTATGTAATCTACTGACTGTATTCATGTTTTGCCAGTCATCCCAATAATGTCAGTTAGAGCAAAATAAAATCTAGGATTATGCATTGCATTCAGTCATTATGCCTATTTGGTCATCTTTAATCTAGAACATTTTTGAGTCCTTGTGTTTCCTGCCATTGGCATTTTTGAAGAATACAGGCCAGTTCTTCTATAGAATGTCCTTAATACTATTTTTTTCTTATCTTTTCTTATGGTTAGATTCAGGTGACATGCTTTTGGCAAGAATGCCACAGGAGTTGTGTTCTCATTGTATCATATTAAGAAGCATAGAATATTTATTTTTCCAGTTATTGGTGATGTTACTTTGATCAATTGGTTGAGACAGTGTCTTCCAAGTTTCTCTGTGGTAAAGTTGTTATTTCGTCTTGTCAGCTGATTTTTTTCTATCGGGCCATGACAACCACAGAGCAGTTTTTCTGTGGCCTTGCCTTTACCTGCTCTTTTGATGTTACAGCCCTCCTGCCAAATAGTTCTGGTATTCGTCTGGGCCTATGGGACCTGCAGGGTCTGTGCTTCTGTGGCCAGTTCTCTTGCCTTCATATGAAGCTTCCCTTCCTTGCTGCCAAGTCTCAACTATGGAAATGTTTCCTATTACTATTACTCATTCACTTATTTTTTAATAATGTTTATTGAGTATCTTCTATATGCTTGCATTCTATAGGTTTTAGGCATGTAATATAAACATTGAAGCTTAATGTCTAGTAAGAGAGACAGGCAATGAAGAAATAAAAAAAAAATATATATATATCAGGTGGTAGTCTGGACTATGGAGAAAAATAAAGCAGGACAAGGAGTATTGGAAATGGCTGTGGATGAGGGTGGTTAACGGGCAGGTGGAAGTTTGCGTTTACAAAGGGTGAAATGGAAAATCCTCTCTGATAAGGTGATATTTGAGCAGTGACCTGAAGGATGTAAGGAAGCAAGTCATGCAACTATTTGGAAAAAGAGTGCCCTAGAAAGAAGCAGTAGCAAGTATAAAGATCTTGAAGTGGGAACATGGTTGGAGTGTTTATATAATGGCAGGAACTAGGTGAACAAGCTTGCGAGTGGTGAAGGTAGAGATGGAATTAAACCAGGTGAGGCCTTGCAGGTCATAGATTTTATTTTATTTTTTAATTTTATTTTATTAAAAAAATTTTTTTTAACATTTATTTATTCTTGAGACAGGGTATGAGTAGGGGAGGGGCAGAGAGAGAGAAGGAGACAGAGAAGCCAGAGCAGGGTCCAGACTTTGAGCTGTCAGCACAGAGCCCGATGGAGTGCTCGAACTCATGAACCATGAGATCATGACCTGAGCGAAAGTTGGACATTCAACTGACTGAGCCATCCAGGCGCTCCTTATTTTATTTTATTTTAAATGTTTACAGTTTATTTTTTTATTTTGAGAGAGAGAGAGAGAGCGCGCGCGCACAAGTGAGCAAGGGGCAGAGAGAGGGAGAGAGAGAATCCCATGAGGGGCAGAGAGGGACAGAGATGGAGAGAGAGAAGCAGGGCTCACGCAGTGCGGGGCTCGTGCTCACCTGATGCGGGCTTTAACTCACAAACTGTGAGATGGTGACTTGAGCCGAAGTCCAATGCTTAACCGATTGAGCCATCCAGGCACCCCATAGATTTTAGATTTGACTGTGATGGATGTGGGGAGACCTAAGTGAATTTTGGGCAGAGGATTAATATGATTTGATTTATGTTTTGGAAGGATCACTCCAATGATTATTGGGTTGGGAGTAGACTGAAGTGGGTCTAAATTGGGAATCAGGGAGACCATTGCAATGATGCAAGAGAGGAATCGGTTTTGAGGTAGATAGTAAAAATTTGGTTTTAAACTGTCTGGAGTTTAGGTAAGATGTTGGGACCAGAGATAAAAATTTGGGACTGATCAAAAAAAAAAGTGAAGTGGTTCTAGCACTTCAGAGGAGATGGGGAAGACATGGCCAATGGGATAGGAGAAGAACCAGGAGTACTGTCACAGAAGCTATGTAAGGAAAATGTTTCAAACAGAGAAAGTGAGTAACTATCAAATTCTGGTTTTAGAGTCAGATGAAGACTATGTCCTGTGGCAAATTATCCTAATGCAATGGTAGACTCCCAAGTATATTGCCAGATAAGCCACCTCAAAGGTTGTGGGAGAAAAGGTTTATGGACAAAATGCTTATATTACATGGTTGGTTGGTTGATTTATTTATTTATTTATGTATTTATTTATTTATTACTTTGAAGCTTATTTATTTTGAGAGAGTGTACGAATGGGGAAGGGGCAGGGGCGGGTGGGAATCCCAAGCAGGTTCCATGCTGTCAGCACAGAGCCCAACATGGGGCTTGATCCCATTAATTATGAGACTGTGACCTGAGCTGAAACCAAGATGCTCAACTTACTGAGCCACCCAACTGCGCCTTACGTGGTATATTAAGTAAATATAAAATACATGAAGAGAAGCAAGGGGAAAAAAATGTGATTAGTTAACACACTTATGATAGAGTACAAGTTGGTGGAAGGATCACCTGAATCTTATGGTATACAGTTTGTATTGTATGTCCTGGCTCTCTCTGCCTTTTCAGCTCCAGAGCCCACATAGATGGTACCCTGGGCCAAAGACACACTCTCTTAGATCCAGGGACAAGTATGCCTGGTTATAGCTTTAGTTCTGCAGTTAACCTACAAAATAGTCATGGGCTTTGTGTTTTTAGGCTGTGGACACATGGAGTCAGAATGGTGTCACTGATCGGTGGCCATACTAAGGCCTCATGTATATTGTGTTCATGTCTCATGTGTATTTAGTATATCCTGATTCTTCTTTGTCTTCTCTATACTTAGTAACTAGGTGCCTCAAGAATGTTAGATGTTTCTTGGTCTTTTTGTCCTTTTCTGTCAGTGTGTATGCACATGCTTTACTTTGTACATGTAAGTTTATATCTCATTTTGTTTTTCTGTAGCAGAAATGAATATTCTCAAATAGAACAAAAACAGCATGGTAATCAAGAGTTTACCATTGAATTTAGTCACATGAGCATCAGTGGTTATCTTGATTCAAGAGAGTTCAAGTGGGGATAGAAGAAGGAAAGTGATTAAATGCAATTCCTATGATGACTTTTTATATAAAGAGAAGCAGCAAGATGGGATCTTTGCTAAAAGGGTTATGGAGTTTGAGGGAGGGTTTGTTTCTTCTTATTTTAGGTGATGTGTTAGTTATGTATTTTGTAACAAATTATCCCACAATATATCAGTTTAAAACAACAAACATTTTTTACTTCACACAGTTTCTAATGGTCAAGAATCTGGGCGTGGTTAGTTGGGTGATTCCGGTTTAGGGTCTCTCATGAAGTTGTAGTCAAAGCTGTTGGCCTAGGCTTTAGCCATTTCAAAGCTTGACTGAGCCTGGAGGATCTGCTTCTAAGCTTGTTTAACTA